CTCTCTCTCTCTCTCTCTCTCTCTCTCTCTCTCTCTCTCTCTCTCTCTCTCTCTCTCTCTCTCTCTCTCTCTCAGACACACACACACACACACACTCCCCGACCTCCTGCGCTCTTGCATTCATGCGCTTGGAGTAATGCACATACACGTGTTTCACATTCTCTGGATCAATTAGATCAGAGTCTGCAATCACAGTAAAACTGCCCTCCGGCACTAGTGTCCTGCTTATCACGCAGAGCAAAGCAGCAGAAGTTGTACATTGATGAAGGTTGCAATTGAACCTTACTGCACATGAGCAATTGCAACGTCCATGCGAAATAAACAAAAGGAACTACTCCTGAGACTTCTTGCTAAGAAAAAAAAGCCACTCATGGTACCTCTGAACGCCGCGACTTGACGAAAAGCCTGAAGCCAACAGAATTTATCACACTACCAAACACCAGAATCCAGTATCGCCTCCCATAAGAGGCAGCTGCCATCCCGACTCGATAACAAATTGGTGACCGAGCGTACTCTTCCTCCATCCATAAAATTGGTGGCTTTCTTTGTCAGTGGCTTCCGGCACCACATAATTCCACTTTCGCAAGAGCCATCGGCGCTACACCATCCATCGTCCCACACATAGAACTCATCCCACTCTGCGCCGATGTCACTGGCAAAGTGTGGCAAACCATATGGCTTCCTGGACTGGGGACCACTGACGTGATCCCTTCCAAGGGCGCTACCATTGACGCTTTGGAAAACGTGTGCTGGTGCCCTGCGCTTCCAGAAGTTGATGCAGACGAGGGAGAAACAGTCACCTGCACTGCTGCACCTGATTGCTGGCCCCCTGGGGCGCCCAAGTGTGGCATTAATGTCACCGCATGCATATACCATGCCTTCCAAGCACTCATATAATGAGAAAAAAACTGGTTCAGGGCTGGAGAAGTCGTGAAGAAAACGAAGAAAAAGTCAAGGAAGACAGTATGATAACAAGGTATCGAAACAAAAACAAAAAAAAGCATAAAAGCTTTGCACAGGAGGAATGAGCATGACGGCATAAACAAACAACCTAGTTGGTTTCATTTTTGAAGGTGGCAGAGAGCAGGGGAGAGAGACAAACCATGCGTAAGAAGACCTGGATACCTAAGTGAACCATTGCGAACAGGCGAAGCAGGACAAGCAAAGGTGTAGAGGAAGGGAAGAAGGAAAAGGAGTGAGCGGAGGGGTGCAGAGGCAGGGAAGGAGTACTAAAAGGAGTGAGAGGAGGAGGAGGAGGAGAAAGAAGAGTAGCTGCGTCATTTTGTGTTATGTCTTTAGGGATGCTTCACCCTCATATTCTTGTGGATGCTCTGCAGCCTTTAGATGGACTGGACCCCTGGTTGTTTGCATCTGGGTTATTCCTACTTTATCGTGTTTTTTTTTTTGGAATGCCACTTGACAGAGAGGGATTGCACCACCTCGCTTCTATTTGTTTTCTTCTTTCGTATTCACCGTTCTTTCTTACCGTGTTTCTTCTCGTTGCGTACGTTTTCTAGCGTTCTCGATTCTCCTATTTTTGTGGCACCTTTTCTCTCATCCCCTATAATGATCCAGTCACTACCTAGCAGCGGTTGTGGCCACACAACAAGTGCACATGTTCACACCAGCAATTAGTAAGAAAGCAGGCTTTGGGTATTTTTGTGGTGAAGGACAGAGGCACGTTCACCTTATGGTCTGGCTACAGCTCTGCACCATAGGCATGGCAATCGGTCCAAAACGGAACAAAAGAGTAGAAGCGAAAAGGAAAGAAAGGGAAAGGGAATAAGTAACGCAATTGAACCTGCAGGGCCAGTGCCCTTCAGATTCTCCTTCATTGAACTAGGAATGCACACAATGCCTCGATGTGATTTCTACCTGATCAGCTCCTGATACTAGATAGACAATATAAAGCAACATGCCCCTTATTTCTATGCTCGCGACGACTCTGGAACTCGCTGTTAAGTGTTCTTTCCCCCCCCCCTTTCTTAAACCACCACTACCTCTGAGCCTCTTTTTGCCGACCCTGAATCAACCTGCGTGCCGAGTTTTGCCGAGCCTGGCAGTAAAACTGGAATGCATGCATTTTTATTTTCTGCCGCCTCTACAAAAATGAAAAGAGTCGCAGCAGTTAGATATGTGCACAGAGGCCGCATGCATTTTTATTTTCTGGCACCTCCATCTACAAGCAGTCCAACAGGGTCCCAATCTTCTTTTTTTTCTTTTTTTTTCTGGATGTTGGAGGCCGACCCTCCGTCGGACCCCCAAAAAATGTGGTATAGGTCATTTTAGTATTTTCCCTTTTTTTTTCCCGATACCGAGAAAGGTAGTGGTGGTTTCCCACTCGGCACTCCTCTTTCAAGATCAATTAAAATAAAAATAATAAAAAATTGGACAATTTCTTTATTTATTTGTGTCATCCTTGTGCAGGGGCCATGCTAATCTTCTCTGTATCAAACGCACTGTTGTCTTCATTTGCAAAAACACATATCCACAAGCTGTTTGTTAGTAAAACTGACTGAAAACAGTGAAAAGCACTAATCAAACAAAGAAACAGAAAGTGGATGCGATCCAACATGTCCAAACACAGACGCAGAAAGTGGACGCAATCCAAGATACCCAACACATCACAGCACAGGCACACTGAGGACCTCGAATGTCCAGAATTGATGAGGATACTCTCACTTTGATAATGCATGGCCGCCATCATTGCCATTTCTGGGCCGTTCGGCATGCATGCTTGATCTTCGGCTCCCCGTAAAGTAGCTGACGACGGCGGGCTGGATGGAGGCGTTGGGACGCAGGGAAATCCTGGAATAACTTGGTGTGGGAGCGGTGAGATGGGAAGAAACGGAGCTACGAGAGGCGTTGGCATGACAGGGAAATATCCACAAGGTTTGCTTGAGGGAGGAAGCCCGGGAAGTCCACCAACCATGAACGGTGGAAAGGCGAATAGTGGCGGTGGTGGGAGAGGAGGAACTGCCGCTGCCACATTCACTGTTGCTTGCCCACCAGAATCCTGCGGCTGGAATTTTCCGGAATCCCTTTGTGTTGCATGTGCAGGATCTGCAGGTTTAGGTTCCTGATCCAGCGGCGAAGCTATCGTAACTGGCTGGTCCCCCTCCTGCCCGGTTCTCGGAGTCAGTGGCTGCATCTGTCCAAGGTCATCAACCGAGCCTGGAGGCATAGATGCAATCATTATTGAAGGCGTTGTTGATGCTGCCACCGAAGAACCCTGAGAGGATGCCTGTGCAATTGGCTGTGCCCCTTCCTCTCCCTGCCCTTGCACTCGTGACGTATCCACTGATGGATTTGACAATGCTGCGAGTGTCGGTTGCTGCTCAGCCATGCTCCAGTCCCGCCATGATGGAAGCATCGGAACACCACTTGGAGCAACTGGCACGGCGACGAAGTTGACCCCTCCAACATTTGTGCATGGATGAACATTACTTTGCAGGCTGGTAGAGCTTTCATGCACATGCAAGATGCCAGATGAGTCCCCCACAGGGGACTGGCCACTGGCATCCTCCACAGCAAGGAACCGCGAAGGTGAGACATCACGGCCGTCTTCCACAACAGTTACAACGTCTTCAATCGTTGGTGATGCAGCAATGTGCAGCAACACGCTCCCCATCCGTTGCTTTTTCAACTTTCCATTTGGCGACACGCTAACCTCCTCAGAATTGCAGAGCGAGTTCGCCCCTTTTCCGCCGTGCTTACCGGGCTTCCGCTTCATTCTGGCAGAAGTAATGCCACTAGAAGAAGGTGTTTGCAACCACGCCGGGACGCCATGGGAGCCAGGGACATTGCCAGATGATTTTCCCATTGCTGAGCCACGAGTTGCGTTTGTAACACCTGAAAGACAGGTTGCCATAACAATCTACCCTTAGCTCAGAGGAGAGCACATGCCTCAGTTGCAATGAACGTGTTCCGTGTTTCGTTGCTTTTTATGTTTCTTTCATGCACAGAGAAAGAAGCAGCTGTTGTCGAGGAATAAAGCCACACGACAACCTCCAGACGTCCAACCTAGCAACGCTGGCTATGAAATGCTACACTGGGCGGTACATCAGTGGTTGAACTGAGTGCTCTGAGAACTGCTTGGAATAGCAGCTCCATTGAGACTCCAAGACCGCCGTGAGATTTAGATGGAGGGAAAGATTACGGGAGCTGGAAAGAACCTGGTAAGCGTGTCCCATGTTATCGTGGGAATTCACGACATCCAACCTGAGCTATGGGAGCAGCATTGTTGTGGACGATGAGGACTGGCCATTATGCCGGCAGCTACAGGGATCGTATATTCGGGGAGCGGGAGAGAGAGTGCAATCAACCTGGTGACAATCAGTGAAGACATGGAAGGCAAGGGTGGAAAGAAGTATGAAAGGGGAAAGAAACACAAGAGAGAGAGCTGGGGGGAAGGGGGAAGATGAAAGCCAGTGATATGAAAATATGAAAAATACTAAAGTAGTACACAAATAGAAATGAGAGCCAAATGCAGCAAATGCATACGAGCACAATAGCAACAAACAACAACAAAAAAGAGAACAAATGCATACGAGAGAAGGAAATAAAAAAACATGGTTACAACAACCTGCATCACGGCACTCATTAATGTGAAAGAAACCCTCAAGTCGAACAAATTACTCTAACTGTCTAACAGGAAAAACTGCAACCAATGACATAAGGATGAGCGAAAGGCATAACATGGCAGCCTTTGACCAGAAGAAATTCCAAAAGATGATCGTGGCAAAAAATCGGCCTGCATCAAGGCAAACCTTACGCACCTCTGTTCAGATCACAATGGAACCCGCCAAGCCATCTGAATGCTGGCTTTCGACTCTCCGACATGTGAGTCTGGATGCAACAAGCATGACAACAACCATTCCAGCGAAATGTCAGACAGCTGCCCCTCATAATAACAGAACAACTCGTGGGAGTTGGAAAGAACCCAAGGTGTATACTACATGCCTTTTGACTACCTGCTCATTGCATCCCGTGTTCAAAACTCATGCCATACTGGTCTAGACATTCAGCCCACCCCAGCACCGTTGCAGCAAGGACTTACACGTCCGCACTTGATATCCAAGGGATCCTCCGCAAGTGGCAACCAGTCTTCCACGCAGATACCAGTGCCCAGGTAACCTCCCTGGCAGGTTTCTGCACTCGTACACTGTTGGTAGACTTTGTCAATGTCGAACCAGATCGACACCCGGAGCCAATGAGGCAAATATGTTTCTCCGCAAAGGTATTCAAGACAACAAGATGTCCGAGACGTGGCAAACCATATTCTTTTCTGGTTTTCTTTTTTCTTTTTTTTAACCAGTCTTTCCGCTAGGAAAGGTGATAAGAGCACCAGGACGGAAACCATATTCTGATGATGATAGAAGCCTGCAATGGTTTTCATCACTTTTGTTGCAAGTTGATGCCAACACTCTGCTATTGACAAGTGTTACAAGCACAACGTGTTCACATGAGGCTGATCACCTGCCGGAGTGTCCGAACAGCACTCAACGCATCCCCTCTTCATTGTTCATACTTTTGGTTCTCTTCGACTAACCAGTGCCAAGTATAGAAAATGTACATCACAGCCAGCAGACGTCCCGGCGTGGTGACCAATTGAAAGTTTGCAACACAAGGGCCAGCGGCCTAGCTCAATGGTAGAGCACGTAAGTGGCATTCAGGAGGTCGTGGGCTCGATTCCCCACGTTGTCCGTCCAATTCCCCGCAGCCTCTGGGGCACACTTGGGGTTCACCATCCCCATCCCCATGCCCTTCATGCACCCCTCTCCCACCTCCTCTGACTCGCACACACACACACACACATGGAAAAAAAAAACACCAAGAAGAGCAAAACTTCACCTCCATCTTCAAATCGTCCTAAGCAATGGAAGAAAAAAGCACATAAAACAAACCGCGAAAGCCCATTTGGCATTTTTCGACACCAAGGAAGTTTCAAAAGAGGGCAATTGAAAAAAACTGAGCCACTGCAATAGACAACTCACATCATCAGTTAACTGAACTTAATTCTTACCTTCTCAATGAGATGAAGTGAAGATAAAATGTTGGCAATATCATACAAGCGCCGGACTTTTGCTGATAAAATGGAAGCACCAACACAAGACAGGATACCCCAACGAGTGTCAAAATCAGCACCCTCAGCACCACACATCTCAGTGGGACCAGAACTCTATATTCTCTGTCCATTATGTCACACCACTGGGGAGAACAAAACATATTTAAAAAGAAGTATAAAAAAAACAAAAAAAAAAAACATCCTTGGAGACCTTGATTCACGCATGGACACACACACACACACACACACACACACACACACACACACACACATGCACACATGTGCACACACTCACACACGTCCCCACATACGCCTCCACAGTGTCCACACACACACACACACACATGCACACACAAAGAGGATTATGAGGGTATGACCCAGGTACGTCTTTGTTTTTCATAGCACGCCATGACCGTCAACATTGTAATCGTGCACAACACCCTGACATGGTATGTCCTATTCATAGACCTTTTCAAACGGGGATGCCTGCCTATACAATTGCAGTCAGCGCCCGTCTATGTTCCTACCATGGGGGAGCCACATAGCCTGTGGCATCCGTCTACATCGCACCATTTAATGCAGCAACTGCAGCAGCTAGAATTGAATGTGGTGTGTCCGCAGTCCACATCCGAACCAACCCCGTAGCCTTGTCTCTTATACACATCTAGATGTGTATAAGAGACAGGTCCTACCATGTAGGAGCCACGTAGCCTGTGGCATCCGTCTACATCGCACCATTTAATGCAGCAACTGCAGCAGCTAGAATTGAATGTGGTGTGTCCACAGTCCACATCCGAACCAACCCCGTTACCATAGGCAATACCTGCTCCTCAACTCGTTTTTCTTTGCAACACAAACACAGGCTTGCCTCTTGAGCCATTCCCTAGTAATCTGCTCTGCCGGTGAGTACTGGGAATCCTGCGAAGTTCATCTTTCCCCTATTCTATTTCTTCCTCCCTCCACTTCCCTCTTCCCCTTCTCCCTCCTCCCTCCCCTCGTATAGAACTTCTTACTCCCTTTCCCCTTCTCCTCTCTCCCTCTCGTTGTGCACAACTACTCAACGCATACGAATGAGCATCATTAAGAGAACAGACAAAATATAAGGTGCAGGTGTGCTGAAAAGCAAACAGGAGCGTACGCATTCAACCCTGCCCCTCTCCTCTGCCTCCTCTCATAGTGTGCTAGTGGGCTGTCATGGCACACGGGGATCTGGGCAGCTCACGCTCAGCTACATATAACATGACGAGCCTTGTTCCTGACAGGGACAGTAAAGGGGAAACTAAAATAAGAAACAACAGAGAAATAACAAAGAAGCGCACAGGAAAAGGCAAAGAACGGTATCCATGTGCTTCACGTTGTCTCCATCGTTTGCTTCACAAAGCGCACGCCTTTAGTTGATAGATATGTGAGACGAAGATCTTTGATCTCGGCAGAAAACGAGTTGTCGTGGTGACAGTCATAGAGCCAGGCACATGCATAGAGAGTGAGAGAGAGAACAAGAGCAAGTGAGAGGTTGACCCCAGGACAGGCAGAGTAGTGCAGACTGAAACACATCCTTTGCGTATTAGACACCATAACAGGAAGACTAGATGACCCGTTGCGGCTTCGCCCGCAAAAACAGAAAAGGAAAAAAAGCACAAAAGAAAGAAAAAGCATAAGGAACTCCCCTATCATATTCCGCCGAGCCTTTTTTTCCCTTTATCTTTGAGTGTTTTGTTTGGGGAGCCATTACCTTCGCAGCATCCTTTTTGTTTTGTGATGTGCAAGAACTCCTCCACTTTTCTGAGAAAATCCTGTCCATTGTCCCGTTGATGTTTTTGCAGCTAAAGATTCAGATTCAGACTTTGTTTGCTGTGTTCTCTGGATATGTTTGTGATGAACCCATCTTGCATGTATGCATGCCCCGTGCTTACTTGTTGAGTTTTTTCGCTAAGTGCGCAAGTGCATGCGTGTGTGGGCGAGTCTCACTTTGGTGGGCTCGGATGATGTCATTGATGATTGGCCCGGGGAAGTTGGAAGTCGCCTCCAACAACAATAGGAGTGCCACTGATGTTAAGAAGCAGGGGTTTTGCATTGTATGAATGATGAAACAATCAGCAGCATTCAATCTGCTTCGCAGTTGCTCTTCGCGTGGGGGACTTGTC